CAAGTGTAGTGAAGGAGAACACAGGTGAGGGCAACCCAATTGTATTTAACGAGAATTACAGAGTTACTCAGTAAAATCGGAAAACCATATCGTAAATTGTTCATTTGCAAAATATCAGTTCATCATATCGAACTGGACTGTTCCTGATGCAAAACATCAATCCATTGTCACTATTCATGCGTTTCATACAAATTCCATTGTTTTCTAACTCTTCCTTTCTTGATCTTCCCCCATGTTCTGCTGCCAGACATTACGTTGACGCTCACGTCATATACTACTTATAAGTAGCTCACACCACATTAGGACCTTGATGAAGTGAGTTCTAGGGATCTAACGTCTCCAACGAAATCTTTTAAATTAGAATGTTAAACAATTCATTGGTTTTCAATGATTAACCTAACTAAAATTAGTCCATGACGTAAAAATTATAAAACCCGGCAATCTTCACAAACAATTTACACTAGTAATAATAGTAGTGATAACAATCACTGATAAATAGGTCCTGGAGATAATCTCTCCGAGCAGCCATGAAGAGTTGACTTCAACCATGTCGAATGAGATACATTCATCATAATTTTACAATATTAAGAATTGTTTGAATATAATAGAGATATATAAACTATTAGATGCTTATCTAATGGTCTAAATGTTAAGTTGTATCCATGAAAATACGACAAGGTCCTAAAAGTTCAATCCCTTGTTTGGATTGTAGCTGGATACTGATGAGAGAGGTTCTTATACTAACATAAAAAAACAACTTTCTATTATTTTGTTTATTTCCAATAGTTATCTAATTAAAATCCTGCGGGGTGCAGGAGTCGTGGATGCTCACTGCTGAGGAGTGTCCCATACCAGGACGAAACGGCCGTCTTTCAGTGCTTTCAGGTTTCTAATGGTGGTCTAACATTGATCGATTCATAGTTTCAAAAATGTGTAACTTAACAATCTTCACAACCCCGTAATGCAAACTTACTATTTATCACTGCTAGTATACACACTATATAGGTAGGTAGAGAGAGAGAGAGAGTTCCATGATGCAAAACTTATTGAAAAGAAATTCCTTTTCACTGCCTTTTGTTTTACCAAATTTTGAACTCCTGAATCGATCAATGTTAGACAACCATTGAAAAAAATCCTGGAAGCACTGGATGACCCTTTTGTCCTGGTCTGGATATCTCTTCAGCAAAGCACATCCATAACTCCTGCTACTCGCAAGAATCGAACCCAGGATCTACTATAGCCTTGCGCGTAAACGCTTCAGCTCTGAACCATTGAGTCGGCATCCTATGGTGTTAGTGTTTAACTTGCATCAATCCACGGTGTTGAGTAGCAGGACTCATCGATCACACTGTTGATGAGTCCCATTAGAGGATGAATCGTCAGTTTCACTATCCCACTAATTATAATAGTAAGATTGAAATTATCCATAATCCTGTTTGTTACATTTCCTCTCCTCGACCAACCAAAGTAATCTATGAACATATTTTACTACACCCTCGATTACTGATCTGATTTTTTTTTGAATGCACAAAACTAGTTGGTTTATCGGGGATCAAACGAATAAGCTTGAAATTGCGAATATGATCGTTTCAGGTTATAGTCTTCAATACACATCATTACACTGTCTATCAAATTGATAAATAAACTAATCACTTCTCTTAAATTACACCATTCATAATCATGAAAATACATGTAATCATCAGATATAGATTTATGTATAATTAATAGTGTGGATAAAAAATTACTATTAGTAGTCATTAAAATCGAATTATATTTTTCTATGTGTTCATTGGTATTTAAGGTCATCTAATATATTTATTAGTAAAAACAAAAATAAGTGCCTACAGCTGCTGGCTGATTGAATGAAAGTCAAATTCATGATAGACAAGTTTTAAGTTCAAATGACTGAATGTCAATGTAAGTCGAAAGATTATATTAATAGTATATTATATAAAAAGAGTTCTTTTTTAACCAGGTAGATTTCTATGGGATAGGGTGGCTAACTGCACGCTCAGACGTTCTCCTTTATCCAGCCTTGGGACCGGCAGTAACCCCAGAGTGGCTCTAGGTTTAGTTAGGCATTTATTTACTTACTTACTTACTTACTTATGCACTTACTTACTTACTTACTTACTTATGCACTTACTTATGCACTTACTTACTTATGCACTTACTTACTTACCAGCATTCTTTAACTTACACAGTCCTGGGGCCTTCCTTCCGTGTTCTGTCGAATTTCTGTTCATTCTTCTCACGTCTGTCTAACGTAATGTATTTCTTTGGCAATTAAGCATTTACCATCAGTCTAAATTAATTCAAAATTTACAAATGATTGAGATATTCTACTAGTATCAAACTATATCCGTAGGAATGTCACAAACTGGACATCTGTAACACAATCTATCAGCAATGATATCTGACATGTTAAAATCTATTCAGTGGTTGGAAATGTTAGTGAAACCTGTTATTGAACAAGTCAAAGGTGAAAAAGAACAATATTTTGTAAATAGCAGACATGACCTTTTTGTATAAAATAAAACCAGTTAATTAAGTGCTAAAATAACCAGCGAACCAATAACAGACATCAGTGTGGAGACATAAATTAGAAAACAGTTATCACGTTGATCCTGTTAGGATATTATTGGTCAATTCCTATTGGTTGATTCCTACTGGTCAATTATATGATCGTCCTAGATATCAATGTCATGTACTACAATGTGATTTCCTATTGGTCGACTTAATTATCAATGTCACAGACCTCAATGTTGTCTCCTGTTCTACCTAAATGCATGAATACGCATTATCTGTAACGTTTTATGACACGGACCCGGACGTGTAGACCGCTTCACATATCTTGGGAGTCTCATCAGTGCTGAAGGCCTGGTGACTGACGAAATCTCAGCACGGATACAGAAGGCTCGATTGGCTTTTGCCAACTTGCATCATTTATGCCGTAAGCGAGTTATCCATTCGATGACTAAAGCACAAGTGTACTGCTCAGTAGTTTGCTTTGTCCTCTACTTTATGGCTGTGAAACATGGTCAGTGAGAGTAGAAGATATTCGTCGGTTATTGGTTTTCGATCATAGGTGCATCAGAAAAATAGCTCCTATATCCTGGGACACTTGAGTGAGCAACGTTGTTACTAGGAAACGGGTGCTAGGTAAGAATGGCAGATCAATAGATGAAGTAATGAAACTTCATCAGTTGAGGTGGTTGGGACATGTGTTGCGTATGCATAACCACCGACTTCCTCGTCGAGCTTTGTTTTGTAGTGTAGGAATGGGTTGGAAGAAAGTTAAGGGCGGATAAACCAAAACATGGTATAAATCCATGAAGTCATTGACAAGTGGACTTAGCCATGTCGGTAATTGTCGACTACCTGGTTGGGGTCGGCGAGACGATAATAATCTATGGCTAGAGACCTTGAATGACATGGCTTAAAACCGTTTCCAGTGCCGCCGGTGCATTTATTCTTTGTGTTCTCTCAAATCCTAATCTTCTGGATTCTTCAATCCCTCTAGTTTTGTCTTTCTAAACTTATCTCACTGAATCATATTTCTTGAATAATATCTTCTAATCCTAACCTCTCGGATTACTTCTAATACCTTTAATACCTCTTCTACTATTGGATTTGAATTGACAATTATATCTCTGTGCTAATGTGGTATGGCAACATGAACTGATGTACTTACGTACGAAGTTCAACGTTGCATCTGACTGACTGATTGACTAATAACCAGGTGAAAACCATATAGTGTTGAAACTAATGTGCACACTAGTGACTAGCTTCGTGAGGTGATTTTCGGAGTTCTAGTCAAAAGATGTGACCAGTGGAGTTCAACTCTAATGGGTGTATGAGTGAGGTTGATCAAAATGCCTAGATTGATCGCAGTTGGAAATTAATGCCGTTGGATTTTGCTTGTTCTAGTGGTGAAAAAGTTAAGCGTTCGCGCACAAGACCTGAGGTTGTGGGTTCGACCCCTATGGTTCTTAGGAGTCGTACATGCTCACTGCTGATGAGTTCCATACCAGAACGAAATGGATGTCCAGTGTCTTCACGTTTCTTTCTTAAGGTGGTCTAACAATGACTGATTCATGATTTCAGTATTAAACAACATTCTCTATGACTCTATCATGTAAAATAATTGAGAAAACGTGACGGACATTTTTAGATGTGAACATGTGCTATCATCTTAAGAATTATGACTTCTTAATACTTCCTAAAATAAATCCATCTACCAATATCTATATAATATTTTTATCTCATTGATAACGTTTCGTTATCCATCCGTCATTGTATCGTATCGTATTGTATATCCAGTAAATGTGATTTGTCCTTAAATCAATATAATACTGTTGTTTTTTTCTCTTTGCCCTCAAGCAGCCAATCAGGTTTCAGATTTGAAGGTCACAATTAATCCATTCACTGAATAATCGCTATTCGGCTTAATTATGGTCAATATGGATTAAATCATATCGTATAGAAATAATACAAACATGAAAGTTGGTGTAATCGGTTCTGGCATTGTTGGTCTTTCTACAGCATTAGCAATTAAAGAACATTATCCCAATGCAGAAATTATTATACAATCTGATAAAAAAGGTGTAAATGTTACAAGTTACGGAGCTGCTGGTATCTTTAGACCAGATCCAAAATTATTACCAGGATTAAATGAAGATCAAAATGAATTCTATAATAATAGTTTTTCATTTACTCAATGGTGTAATATTGGACGTGAACATTATTGGAAATTGGCAAGTAGTTGGCGATCAGCCGATTCCGGTGTCTATTTTCATCCAACTTATCAATTATCAGATAATTATACGTATGATATTCCATTTGTTAGTAAATTATGTGGTAAAACAATATTTCTAGATGAAGAAGAGGTAAAGATTAGTTTGTTTTATTGAATAATGATGATATGAACTACTTACTTACTTACTTACTTATGCACTTACTTACTTACCTACACCTGTTACCCTCAATGGAACATAGTCGTCCACCATCCAGCATTCATCAACCTGCTTTGTCCTGGGGCCTTTCTTCTCTGTTCTGTCGAATTTTTGTTCATTCTTCTCATGTCTGTCTCCATTACTCGACGTAATGTATTTCATTGGCAATTGAGCATTTACCATCAGTTTAAAATAATTCACAATTACAAATGATTGAGATATTCTACTAGTATCAAACTATATCCGTAGGAACGTCACAAACTGGACATCTGTAACACAATCTATCAACAATGATATCTGACATGTTAAAATATATATTCAGTGGTTGGAAATGTTAGAGAAACCTGTTATTGAACAAGTCAAAGTTGAAAAAGAACAATATTTTGTAAATAGCAGACATGACCTTTTTGTATAAATTAAAACCAGTTGATTAAGTGCTAAAATAACCAGCGAACAAATAACAGACATCATTGTGAAGATATAATCCTGTTAGGATATAATTGGTCAATTCCTATTGGTTAATTCCTACTGGTCAATTTTATGGTCGTCCTAGATATCAATGTCATGTACTCCAATGTTTTTTCCTATTGGTCGACTGAATTATCAATGTCATAGACCTCAATGTTGTCTCCTATTCTGCCTAAATGTATGAATACGTATTATCTGTAACGTTTTATGACACGGACCCCGCTCCCTAGTCCGGGATCCTGATTCTCTTCTGGATTCGGATCTCGTACCTTCTGGATGCATGTAGAATACAGGTTCTACTTCATATCAAGTTTTCTTCTTTTATTCATTGGGGGTTGGGACACTCGAATTAGAGTAGCATGTCGTGTCGCCGGATCCTCGCTCTCATTTTCCAACTAAGGTTAACTCGTAATAGTTCAAGCATATCAAAATGACACGTTTACGTGCATCGGTAACTAATCCTTTGACTAGAGAACCAATATTTATTTACTAAAATCTAGATAGCATGAAATCTCTTCAACAGAATTGTATTTTCATCAGAAAATTATACATTTGATATTTCATTTGTTAGTAAATTATGTGGTAAAACAATATTTCTAAATGAAGAAGAGGCAAAGATTAGTTTGTTTTATTAAAATAAATATCGTTTTCTATTTTTTTTTGTTCTAGATTCATTCTATTGGATTTGCTGATCATATTAAATCAGCTTATTATTATACAACTTGTATTATAGAACCACGTTATCATATGAATTATTTACTGAATGAATTGATCAATTTGAATAAAAACAATGATAAATTAAATCATTGTTTTTATTCAAATTGATCAATTCATTCAGTAAATAATTCATATGATAACGTGGTTCTATAATACAAGTTGTATAATAATAAGCTGATTTAATATGATCAGCAAATCCAATAGAATGAATCTAGAACAAAAAAAAATAGAAAACGATATTTATTTTAATAAAACAAACTAATCTTTGCCTCTTCTTCATTTAGAAATATTGTTTTACCACATAATTTACTAACAAATGAAATATCAAATGTATAATTTTTCTGATGAAAATACAATTCTGTTGAAGAGATTTCATGCTATCTAGATTTTAGTAAATAAATATTGGTTCTCTAGTCAAAGGATTAGTTACCGATGCACGTAAACGTGTCATTTTGATATGCTTGAACTATTACGAGTTAACCTTAGTTGGAAAATGAGAGCGAGGATCCGGCGACACGACATGCTACTCTAATTCGAGTGTCCCAACCCCCAATGAATAAAAGAAGAAAACTTGATATGAAGTAGAACCTGTATTCTACATGCATCCAGAAGGTACGAGATCCGAATCCAGAAGAGAATCAGGATCCCGGACTAGGGAGCGGGGTCCGTGTCATAAAACGTTACAGATAATACGTATTCATACATTTAGGCAGAATAGGAGACAACATTGAGGTCTATGACATTGATAATTCAGTCGACCAATAGGAAAAAACATTGGAGTACATGACATTGATATCTAGGACGACCATAAAATTGACCAGTAGGAATTAACCAATAGGAATTGACCAATTATATCCTAACAGGATTATATCTTCACAATGATGTCTGTTATTTGTTCGCTGGTTATTTTAGCACTTAATCAACTGGTTTTAATTTATACAAAAAGGTCATGTCTGCTATTTACAAAATATTGTTCTTTTTCAACTTTGACTTGTTCAATAACAGGTTTCTCTAACATTTCCAACCACTGAATATATATTTTAACATGTCAGATATCATTGTTGATAGATTGTGTTACAGATGTCCAGTTTGTGACGTTCCTACGGATATAGTTTGATACTAGTAGAATATCTCAATCATTTGTAATTGTGAATTATTTTAAACTGATGGTAAATGCTCAATTGCCAATGAAATACATTACGTCGAGTAATGGAGACAGACATGAGAAGAATGAACAAAAATTCGACAGAACAGAGAAGAAAGGCCCCAGGACAAAGCAGGTTGATGAATGCTGGATGGTGGACGACTATGTTCCATTGAGGGTAACAGGTGTAGGTAAGTAAGTAAGTGCATAAGTAAGTAAGTAAGTAAGTAGTTCATATCATCATTATTCAATAAAACAAACTAATCTTTACCTCTTCTTCATCTAGAAATATTGTTTTACCACATAATTTACTAACAAATGGAATATCATACGTATAATTATCTGATAATTGATAAGTTGGATGAAAATAGACACCGGAATCGGCTGATCGCCAACTACTTGCCAATTTCCAATAATGTTCACGTCCAATATTACACCATTGAGTAAATGAAAAACTATTATTATAGAATTCATTTTGATCTTCATTTAATCCTGGTAATAATTTTGGATCTGGTCTAAAGATACCAGCAGCTCCGTAACTTGTAACATTTACACCTTTTTTATCAGATTGTATAATAATTTCTGCATTGGGATAATGTTCTTTAATTGCTAATGCTGTAGAAAGACCAACAATGCCAGAACCGATTACACCAACTTTCATGTTTGTATTATTTCTATACGATATGATTTAATCCATATTGACCATAATTAAGCCGAATAGCGATTATTCAGTGAATGGATTAATTGTGACCTTCAAATCTGAAACCTGATTGGCTGCTTGAGGGCAAAGAGAAAAAAACAACAGTATTATATTGATTTAAGGACAAATCACATTTACTGGATATACAATACGATACGATACAATGACGGATGGATAACGAAACGTTATCAATGAGATAAAAATATTATATAGATATTGGTAGATGGATTTATTTTAGGAAGTATTAAGAAGTCATAATTCTTAAGATGATAGCACATGTTCACATCTAAAAATGTCCGTCACGTTTTCTCAATTATTTTACATGATAGAGTCATAGAGAATGTTGTTTAATACTGAAATCATGAATCAGTCATTGTTAGACCACCTTAAGAAAGAAACGTGAAGACACTGGACATCCATTTCGTTCTGGTATGGAACTCATCAGCAGTGAGCATGTACGACTCCTAAGAACCATAGGGGTCGAACCCACAACCTCAGGTCTTGTGCGCGAACGCTTAACTTTTTCACCACTAGAACAAGCAAAATCCAACGGCATTAATTTCCAACTGCGATCAATCTAGGCATTTTGATCAACCTCACTCATACACCCATTAGAGTTGAACTCCACTGGTCACATCTTTTGACTAGAACTCCGAAAATCACCTCACGAAGCTAGTCACTAGTGTGCACATTAGTTTCAACACTATATGGTTTTCACCTGGTTATTAGTCAATCAGTCAGTCAGATGCAACGTTGAACTTCGTACGTAAGTACATCAGTTCATGTTGCCATACCACATTAGCACAGAGATATAATTGTCAATTCAAATCCAATAGTAGAAGAGGTATTAAAGGTATTAGAAGTAATCCGAGAGGTTAGGATTAGAAGATATTATTCAAGAAATATGATTCAGTGAGATAAGTTTAGAAAGACAAAACTAGAGGGATTGAAGAATCCAGAAGATTAGGATTTGAGAGAACACAAAGAATAAATGCACCGGCGGCACTGGAAACGGTTTTAAGCCATGTCATTCAAGGTCTCTAGCCATAGATTATTATCGTCTCGCCGACCCCAACCAGGTAGTCGACAATTACCGACATGGCTAAGTCCACTTGTCAATGACTTCATGGATTTATACCATGTTTTGGTTTATCCGCCCTTAACTTTCTTCCAACCCATTCCTACACTACAAAACAAAGCTCGACGAGGAAGTCGGTGGTTATGCATACGCAACACATGTCCCAACCACCTCAACTGATGAAGTTTCATTACTTCATCTATTGATCTGCCATTCTTACCTAGCACCCGTTTCCTAGTAACAACGTTGCTCACTCAAGTGTCCCAGGATATAGGAGCTATTTTTCTGATGCACCTATGATCGAAAACCAATAACCGACGAATATCTTCTACTCTCACTGACCATGTTTCACAGCCATAAAGTAGAGGACAAAGCAAACTACTGAGCAGTACACTTGTGCTTTAGTCATCGAATGGATAACTCGCTTACGGCATAAATGATGCAAGTTGGCAAAAGCCAATCGAGCCTTCTGTATCCGTGCTGAGATTTCGTCAGTCACCAGGCCTTCAGCACTGATGAGACTCCCAAGATATGTGAAGCGGTCTACACGTCCGGGTCCGTGTCATAAAACGTTACAGATAATGCGTATTCATGCATTTAGGTAGAACAGGAGACAACATTGAGGTCTGTGACATTGATAATTAAGTCGACCAATAGGAAATCACATTGTAGTACATGACATTGATATCTAGGACGATCATATAATTGACCAGTAGGAATCAACCAATAGGAATTGACCAATAATATCCTAACAGGATCAACGTGATAACTGTTTTCTAATTTATGTCTCCACACTGATGTCTGTTATTGGTTCGCTGGTTATTTTA